GAACTGTTTTTTGCAGTGAGAAAAAGGAAATAATAATAAGAGATGAATTTATATTTATAATTGCGTATATACATACATATAGACTTACACCCATAGTTGTTGTATTTCTGTGTTTATTGGGCAAGGCGGGTACAAATATTTAAGTGTCTTTACTTGCTTCTGGTTTGGTGGTGTGTTGTGTGTCTTGAACTGCACCGTTATAATGCTTTCTCCTTTGAAAGGTGAAATAAGTATAACAATAAAGAGTTATATTTATAGAATTGCATATTAAGTAAAGCATACCGATTGTACGGTGGTTTTGTTTGATTGTTGAACCCATTGTGGTGTCCTTCATTGTTGTTTTCTGTATGTGAATTGCTTAAGCATTTTCTGTGGTGGTGCTTCGTTGGATTTGTATTGTTTGTAATCTTTGTTTGAGTGCTGGTTGTTCTTCTTTTTGCAGTTATTTAATTTAAACCAAGAAAATATATTTTCTGTGGTGATGATGCTGTTCCGTGTGTTGTTTACTATGACTTTGGTGCTGAGCATTGCCTGTGCATGTATGGAGTCTGGAGATGCTCTTGTTTCTAAAGCACTGCCTGAAGGTTTGCTTGAGGAAAACAGTGCGACAGGTCTTTCTTGTCCTCCTAGTGCTGTTGGTAGTAACGGTACTTGTCCTCATTCTTCTGCGGAGAAGTCTTGCCCTGCTAATGCTTCTCCTTCTGCAGATGGTCAAACTTGTCATACATCCGAAGAAAAGAAAGCGACTTTATCTATACCGCAAGATCATGATCGTCAAACTAATAAGGGTCATGATGGTCCTTCTGATTCTTCTGGTCATGGTCATACTGTGGTTGGTGTGAATAGTGTCGAGGGTTCTCTTGGTAAAAACACTGGTGCTTCTCTTGCTACTTGTCCTGATGGTTCTGCTGGTGTTTCTTGTCCTCGTACTGTGGAAAGTACATCTGGTGGTGGTGATGGTCCGTCTAAAGCAAGACCACCTGTTGCAATGGGCGAAACTCCTGAAGCTCTTCCTGGTGAAGCTGATGCTCCTGCTGACAGTGTACCACGTAAAGATAATGTTGAAGAAGGTGACAAAGGTGCTTCTACTGAACAAGGGAATCATGATCCTGAATCTGGAGAGGGTCGTAATGGTGCTGCTTCTACTGCTGCGGAAAGCAGCGATGTTCCTGCAGGTGGCCTTAAAAATGGAAAAAGCGACAACAGTGCA